TCCCACTTTCTCAGCGAGACTTTTTCCTTGTCAAAAACAAAGCCCCCCCCCCTCTTCCCCCCCCCCCCCCCCCCACCCACCCAGCCAACCCCCCTCCCCTCTGCGCACATTCTGTATTCGACCCCCATGTTTCTCAAGGGGTTTCTCCAGGCGCTGCGATTTCAAACAGCCGACTCAGATCACAACTTGGGCGCCTAATTAGTCCCAGAGTCTTGTACCATGGATGCACCCTCAGCGAGAAAACTCTCCATCAGTCGCAACTTTTGTTTTTGCACAGCACCATTTTCAATAAAAGAAAAGCATTCTGAGACAACCCTCTGTGGGAAGAGCTGTTAATTAATTAAGCCGGGCTGCGCTATCGTTCTATAAATACCGCCGCGCCCCCGACTCCTCTTTTCCTCGGCGCTTCTCCCAGAGCCGCCGAGCACCTGCTCTCATCTGCTCCATTTAGCCTCTTCAACAGATCCGCCGGAGGACCTGGTTCCAGTTCTGCTAGCATCAGGGAAAAAGCCGCGCGCTGGCGCTGGGTTACAGCTGACTATGCATCGAGCAGCACATTCGCCCAATCGTACAATTAGCACTCATTAAAATGGGTTCTTTCCCAGTCGTAATTGGATTGGAGGAGGGCGGACGTGCTGGAGCAACATGGGGAAGTCGCTTTTTGAAGCTGCACAGGATGACTTCATTTATTTTTGCAAAGGTTTATCTGACAAAGATCAAAGATGTCACAGAGCGATGCTTTTTTCTGGGAATTTCCTTAAAACCAAAACCAATCCAAACAACCATCAATAGATTTAGGGATAACGGCAGTAGTAGTTAGAGATAAAAGAACAAGATTGTGTGCTAAAAGTTTAAAAAATGACTCTGTTTTAAGGTAAATTTTGAAGAAATGTGCTGCGGCACAAAGTTGTCACATCCCATGACGACAGCTCACACCTCTAACAGCGTCGGCTGCAGATGAAAGTGCTCTTTGCCCTAGATCGTCTCATCATGACGCTGAGGAAACCCCTATGTTAGCTCTGCTCTTTCTCCAACTGGGGCCGCCACACCTGTTAATGGCGTTCATCAGGTGTGTTAACGGCTAATCGGCAGCCTTTTCATACTTTTAAAAAGCACAAAGTTTCCCTTTTTCAATCTGCTTTCACTCACTAAAGGTTCGTCTTATGAGTTAACGGTGCTCAGGGTCAGAACTGACATGCACATTAGCTGGAGTATTTCACCATTTATAAATAATGAATTTATCTTACACTGAAGCACACAGATGTGTTACTGCCTCACACTTTCTGATGGAAACAACTGTTTTGCTAATTTTAGACTTGTTTTCTTATAAAAACGCCAGTCGAAACCCCGCATTTTTGTAGCACGCCTTCCCTCTTTTACACAAAAAAGCCGGTTTTCCATCTGCAGA